GGGGTCTAGTCATTGACATGTCCTTCCGATGAACGACAAGCCCGCTCGACCACAGAGGCATGTTAAGGTACGAACATAGCCCCCAACTATTAATGAAAGGCGTGTTTTATGCTAATTTGTCGAGCATAACCTTAGCCCGACAAGGACACCTCGATCAAGCTCTACTGTCAAAGTACCCAACAGGTAGAATGTCCAGCTCGCGATGGGCAGTTCATGCCACGAAGTTAAGACCCCAACTGCAATCTTCAACTCATCTGCTCGAACTCCTACTCTGCCTCCTAGACACATCCCAACATGTATCGACTAAAACTAAGGTCGGACATAAATCTCCACTCATGGAAACTTCACACTTCATAAAATAAACAAGTCAAGCACAATGATGAATAAATATTTAACACATATAACATAAAAGCAAAGTAAAAGTATTTATAAATGCCGACCACGAAGGCTGATGTTGTCTAAATGGTACAATAATATGGGCACGCAGGCCCTGATATAAACAAATTAAAAATTACGGGCACGCCGACCCCAAATATAAACAACCAAGTCACCAAGAAATTACTAGTCGCTCCGCGGAGTGCCCACTTCAATCTCTAGCTCGGGAGAATCCAGAGGAGGGATTGCCTTACCATTGACTACCTGAGACAAAACTCTGGCACCTTTAATGTTGAGCCCCGGATTCAACACGGACAGTTGAACCATCACAGTCTTAAAATCGTCGGTCAGAGCGTCCATACAATCCAACTTGAGGACCTGAATTTGAGCAACAAGTTCTGCATGTGTCTTCAATTTGGCGACCCCCTCAGGCTCGTCTTCTGCGGGCAGCACGACAACCTTTAAGTCAACGACCTCCTTCTCCAGGTGTTCCCTCTCGAGAAACAATGAGTTCCTTTCCTCGGAGGCTTTGACCACCTTCTCCTTCTCTCTTGCCAACTCTTTAGCCTGCCCCTGGAACTTTTTATTGCTTCGCTCAAGGGCAGCTTTCAACTTCAGCGCCTTTTCCTGCTGAGCCGCCTTCTTTGACTCCAGTTTGCTCACCGGGGCAGAAGAGATGGCACCCTCACCTGCGAGGACGATAACCATCTTTGCGATGTTCATCAAATCGACCATGCCCGAGGCCAGATGCCGCCTTCTACCTTCCTCATCAAGGCGCCCGATGACATCAAATTCACCATCAGACACATCAAAGGAAAACCTTCAAAGAAGTCTTTCTTGACAAAGAAAAGAGTAAGGGTGAAGGCCCGAGCAGCTGACCCCTCGTCAATCAAATCCGCAGGCCCGCCTTCAGGGAGACTCCTCTTCTTTCCTGTTGCGGCCGCATGCAGCACGTTATCGCGAGGATCCGATGAGCCGCTTGACCTGTCCCTGGACGGCTCGGTAATAGGACTAAGGCATGTGGGCTGGTTAGGCTTCACTAACCTTTTGTTGTTCTTTTTCTCCTGGGTCAACTTCAGGTGATGTTCGCGACGCTCGGCCATGTTACCTACAAAAACAAAAAATAACACCCTCGAGTCAACCTCGTTAGAAGGACATACCCAAAATAAGTAAACAAAAATAGAATGCCATAGAATCACGTGGACAAATACCAAGAAGAGCCACGACTTCCCTGTAGGTATGACACTCAACAAGCGCCTTAGTGTTGATCGGACGAGCCTAGAATGTAGGTTCTCTATCTTCATTAAGGACATCATCTCCTTCCCTCGTCACCCACCTCGAGGGGAAGAAACCATCGACGAATCTGTTGAGGACGCCGAAGGATCCTTCATCCTCGGTACTCATGCTTCCCGGAGGAGTATGGTAATGGACAGGTCCGTGCTCGTAGTGACCTTGACACCAATGAATAGGGAACTTCGAGAGTCTCCCAATATCTTTGTTCTCGTCCTCGTCATAACATGTTTCCCCGTCCTCATCTACGAGGGAAACTGCGTCGAACACCGCATCCACTGCCTCTTGAAACGAAGGCTACACGACGTACCACTTATCTTTAAAATCACAAACAGAGTCCACGTACATCCGGAACAGCCTCTTCGACTGTTTGAAAGAGACGCATCTGCATTTTTCTCCCCTAGACTGTCGTTGAAGATGGAGAACTCTAAAGAACAAGGGAATCGTCGGCCCGATCCTCAAGTACCGACAAGTAATCTAGAAATCTCGTATGAAAGTAATTGCATTGGGATGCAGTTGAGAAGGCGCCAAGGACAAATGATTAAAGACACCCATCTGAAATCCACTGAAGGGTAGGAAAAGCCCCAGATCCTTGAAGACAGTCTCGTATATAGGGAAGTAGTCTTCCTCAAAAGACGAGCATATTCTGGCTGTAGGTGTCGACCGCAGGATCGTGAAATTCCACTAGAAACTCTCGTGGTTACCACCATAATCGACGATAGTGTATGCTTCCCTCCTTGTATAGCTAAAGATCAAGGTTATCCCTTAGGGTTCTAGCCCGGCCCAGGAAAATGACGGATAGGTGACCGTGTCGATCAGTTGGACACCCTCGTCAGCTCTACTTATTTCTTCTACCTCGATCTACTCGAAGGAATTGTTTAGTTCAGCGATTTCACCTGTAAAGCAGAGGAAACCAGTGAATTCGACAGCTAAATCAAATCTACCCTTCCACCGTAACACAAGTGAAAGGGGGTTGCTACGACCAAACAAGGTCGATGAACCCTCATGCAATAAAAGCAAACATAACTCACGAGCACCACGAAGAGATTATACACTCCTCGAACAACCTCATTAAGGTGACGAGGATAAGATGAATAATTCGAGCAGTTTCATGAGTACCACGGGCACGAGATGAATCCCCCGAGCAAATTCATGAATTTTGCAGGGAGCAAATGAATTTCACGGGCCCTTTCGTGTTTATCACTAAGAGATGTATTAATATCCCGAGCAAAAATCCCCATGGGTAGTGAAATTCATCAAAGATTTATCAAAAAATCCAACCGTAAATGATGATAATTAATGGAAAACACTTACTTGATCAAAGTTGATGGGGAGTCCGCGGCGGAGGTTGTGACGGTATTTGCGGTTGGAGAAGGAGATAAAAGACGATGGAAAACCAAAGGCGATAGGGAGAGAGGAGAAAGCGAGAGTTGGAAATGTTGCAAATGAACCCTTAGGCACTATTTATAGGGCTGAAACGAAAGACGAAACGTCGCGTCAAACAACGCGCCAACCGCCTATCTCCTCGCCACCTACGCGCTCAGGGTCATAATGACCCATACTCCCTAGGACATCATTCTATTCCAAAGGCTACACCACATGGCTGCATCCTGTGAACTTTCGTCTCCCTGCGAGTCGAAGAGTAGATAAACTTTCTCCGTGCGCGAACTCCAAACTCTATTCAAATAGTCGCAACCAAAAGCTATACAACGTAGCTTACGAGGTAGACATACTCTGAACTCCGTCTCCCCACGAGTCGAGGAGCAACTGAAATATTCTCCGTGAAATAAATTTCAATCTTTGCTCGAGTAACCATGCATAAAAATTACCTCATCCTTCAACGCGGTGAAAAACCCCGGCTAAACTGTGCTCACCGTATGGAGAAGTTGGTCTTAAGTCATAAATCCTTTTTCGTCAGGAGCAACGACTTGGAGGACTCCTGTTCTGGACTGGGCCCGCACTTGGCCCAAACATCATGCAAGGCCCAATCCAATTATGCTGCATGAGAAAGCCAACAAAAAAGAGACTGCCCTCGACCATGTCGAGCAGTGATTCCACTCTTCTGGTCGACCGGGCTTTGTCTTACGGGGATAAACCCATGAATGGCGAGGAGGACCAACGACGGTCAGAAGGACCTCGGGAGCATCCTCTACTCTTCTCGTCGACCAAGATAAGTCCTTCGGGGACAACCTCACAATTGGCGAGGAGGACCAACGACGATCAAGAGGACCTCGCGAGCATCATTCTCGTAGGGCTGACATTTAACACCTCAGAGTGTCACAAAGTCTTCTTGACCTCGAAAAGACCACATCCATATCCTCATGATAGTTCAGAGAAGTCCATCCAGGTTGGGGACCACGTGCTGGTCCCCATTACGCACGTAAGACCTGTCAGTCTCTATTTTGGGTCTGCTTGCTCAACCCAACAATGGGGACCTTGGTCCAGCACTGAGGGATATACATACACTCTCACTTGAGAGGGACATGTATTCATACACTTACTCATACTCTCATACTTTCTAGAACTCGTTCTGAACCTTATTTTGACATCAGAGTGTTTTGCAGATACCCCCTCACTTCACATTCAACTGCTGCTCAACTTGAAACTTGTGGACTTTGACAGTCCCTTCTGATCAGGTACGATCATCTACCTTATACATAGTTAAAATTTCTAAATTAAAAAATCTTGATCATAATTTATCATTAAAAAAAATGAATAATTTTTATACCTATCAGTGTAATTTTTTTTTACACAATCAACCAATAGAAAGTTAATAATTTTTCATGTCATTAAATTTTTTTTAAAATAAAAGTGAAATATAATTAGGTTCGTAGTTGTGATTGGTTGACGATATAAAATTATTTTACACTATCAATACATCATTTGTTTTCTTTAAAAAAAAATGTAAACGTTATTTTTTATTTATTTAAACAGTCTCTTGAAATACTATTCCAAATTTATTAGGTGTCCACAATTTTCCATAGAATTTTGGTATTAAAACATTAATATTGTAAATTAAAATTAAATTAAAAAAAAAAAAGAAATATGTATAACTTCCACGAAATGACGAAGTAATGGTTGCGGGCCGGAACGGGCGTGGACAAAAGATTAAATTAATGCCCTTCCATAGAATTTAACTTTTCCATAGAAATTTCGTCTGTAAATAGACCACAAGATCACAACTAGCAAATAAAATTAACAAACCGCGTCGTTCAGGTGACAATTCCAACTTAACTAGTTCCCTGCGTCGTTCATTGCCGACACTACCCGCTACCAATTCCCAGATCTGATCCGAAACTGAAACGTTTCATCGATCCAAAACTTGCCACGAATCGATGGAGCGTTCTTCCTTTCAGTTTCTCTTTTCAATTTTCCTCTTACTTTCTACCCTCCCTTCCTCTCTCTCCGAGATCCGTTTCTCCGAGATCCGAAACGACGACCGTCCCATCGTCCCGTTCGATCAATTCGGATTCACCCACAACGGCCGCCTCGAACTCAACGTCTCCAAAATATCTCTCTCCAATTCCAATCTCGATCTCTCCAAGGTTGGGTTCTTCCTCTGCACTCTCGATTCATGGCTTCACGTTCTTCAACAGCTTGAAGACGGTGAAATTCGGTGCGCGCTTCAATCGGATCTTGTTAAATCCGTTTACGTTTTCAATTCTCTTAACGGTAAAGATTCATTCAACACGCTTTACAATGAAACCGATGCGGATCAGTATAATCTTGTTTTCGCCAATTGTCATCCTCAGCAGCTTAGAGTTACTATGGATGTTGATTCGGCGATGTATAATCTTGACGGAAAAAGTAACGTTCGTGATTATCTATCTGCTGGGAGAACCATTCTACCTAGGGTTTATTTCATATTCTCATTGCTGTATTTTACCCTCGCCGCGGTTTGGATTAGTGTTCTTTATAAGAAAAGGTTAACGGCTTTTCGGATTCATTATTTTATGCTTGCTGTTATCATTTTGAAAGCTATTAATCTGTTGTGTGAGGCGGAAGATAAATCGTATATTAAGCGGACTGGAAGTGCTCATGGTTGGGATATATTGTTCTATATGTTCAGTTTTCTGAAAGGGATTTCGCTTTTTACGCTTATTGTATTGATTGGTACTGGTTGGTCTTTTCTGAAACCGTTCCTTCAGGATAAGGAGAAGAAGGTTCTTATGATTGTGATTCCGCTTCAGATTGTTGCTAATATTGCTCAGGTTGTTATTGATGAGAGTGGGCCTTATGGTCATGATTGGGTTACGTGGAAACAGATTTTCCTCCTTGTTGATGTTGTTTGTTGTTGCGCTGTGTTGTTTCCTATTGTGTGGTCGATTAAGAATCTCCGTGAGGCGGCTAGGACTGATGGCAAGGCGGCTGTTAATTTGATGAAGTTGACTCTGTTTAGGCATTACTATGTTGTTGTTATCTTTTACATTTACTTCACGAGGGTTGTGGTTTATGCGTTGGAGACTATTACTTCGTATCGATATTCTTGGACTAGTGTGGTTGCTGCTGAGTTGGCTACACTTGCTTTCTATATGTTTACGGGTTATAAGTTCAAGCCAGAGGCTCACAATCCTTATTTTGTAATTGATGATGAAGAGGAAGAGGCTGCTGCTGAGGCGTTGAAGCTTGAAGATGAATTTGAATTGTAATTTCACTGCAAAGAAATTGATACAGATTAAGGTTTTGCCAGAGTAGATAGATGGTTGAAGATGATGGTTGCTGCTCAGCAATGTTCAGGTTTCATCACAACGAAAACTGCAAATTTTAATGTTACATTTTATGGGTATAGTAGTTGGTATTCATAAATCATTGTGCTATAAATATTTTAGACTCTTGTGTAGTGCTGTGAACAATATATTCTGTCTAAGTATTCATACTGATATTTTGCAAACACTTTTTTTCTCTTGCCATGCTTGCTTTTATTCTAATTATCTTTCATCTTTGTACTTGTGTACTTGCTAATTCATGAATTTGCATTTAAATTTTCCAACCATTAGCTCTAGAGTTGTAATTTTGTAGTAAACAGTAATAATCTATCATTGTAAACTTTCCAATCATATAATTGATCTTCTTATTTAGAGGTAGTTGTAGGAGTGCCATGTCGGCTACTATGCTGAAGTAATTGTGTATGTAATAATCTAACATGGGGTAATGGCTATGATTCTGTCAAATAGTGGGAAATTCAAATCTTGGATATCTTGAGTTTCACACGGGGAAGCAGGGAGAGAATTCTCTGAAATAAATTACTAGACCCAAGCAGGATCTGTGGCACAGCCCTGTTCCACCAAAAAAGTTAATGCTTGTTGTTGATAGACTAGGATTGTTGTGATATGTTGAGTATGTAGAATTTAGAAAGCTTACCGTATGAGGAAGCAAGGGTCACATAGATGAGAAATAAGTTGGTTATAAAGGTGGAAAGAGAGAGAGAGATTGAGGGCGGGGATGGCAAAAGGCATTAGGCCACAATTTAGAGGCAATCAACTTTGGAATTAAGAGACGTCTATAATTTATTTATTTTTTCTTTCTTTCTCGTATTTCTTTTAGAAATCCTATTACTGGTCTGCTCTCCTAAAATAACAATTGTATTTCTAGAAAAATTGTATTTGTCTGATTCGTCAGTTGTTGGAAACCCGTTTTCCATCACATGTGGAGGCCAATGTGTCTCAATTAGTTACTGCCATGAACAAAGTTTAGGATCTATTACAATATTTTGCATATCTAGAATAGACAATGGAGAAGGAGAACAATATCAATAAGTTTCACAACTTGTCAAATTTCTTAGGAGAAAGGGAATCAATAATCACCGGTGGAGGAGAAAGGATGGAATCTTCTGGCTCAAACTGGCCACGGCCAAAGCACAGGCACAATTATTAATAGCAGACGAGAAAGTTGGGATAGCGGGTTGCGGCAACCCTCTGCTATGGATGAGTGACACGCATCCAAGTTTTGGATAGCGTCCGAGAAATCTGGGATAACGGGTTGCGGGAGCGGAGCGCTTCTCGGCCCGGAGTGGTTTTCTGCTTTTAGGGTTTTTTGGAGTGCGAAAAGACCTTTTTACCCTTAAAAAATTTAAAGTTGGAAATTTTATTATAGTCGTTTGTGTTTTCTCTTTCATCCGCGTTTTCACCTTTCTACATCGTGTTTCTTCTGTTCGCTGTTTCTTGCATTTTTCACTCGCCGCTACTCTTGCCTTAACTCCTCAGCCTCAACTCCTTCAAACTTCTCTCTACTCTTCTTCTTCTCTACTTCTGTTTTCTGCTTTCTATTGTTTTTACTCTTCTTCTTCTCTACTTCTGTTTTCTGCTTTCTATTGTTTTTCTATTCGTTCTATGGTTGTTTTTTCTTTCATATCATTGTTTTTTTTTTGTTTCTTTTAAAACTAGTACTTTTATCCTGTGAAATGTATTTTTTTAGAATTTTTTTGTTGATTCAATAGTTGAAGTACATAGAAATTAATAGTGGAGTAATGAATTGGAGTAATTAATATTAAATAATATTTATTGGAAAAAGAAAAGAAAATAATGTAATTAAAAATGTTTAGGCTGGATTTTGCTCAAAGTTTGGTGCCTAACTTTGTATTCTGTTTTAATATATTAATGATATATTGATTCTCGGATCTAATATATGTAGATTATTCATATAATTAGTCCAAAAAGTTATTTAATCTAGATTATTCATATAATTAGTCTAAAAAGTTATTTAATCTACATTAAATATGTAGGTAGATTATTCATATAATTAGTCTAAAAGTTATCCTGCTATCCCATTTTCGGGGTCGATCGCTCTCCTATCTAGGATGAATAACTCGGGCACATAGTAAGACAGTGATGCTCACCTAGTTGCTAAATTAACAAAACTACTTCCATTTGAAGGCACGTGGGTGGCTCACTATGGCATAGATGTATTTTCACATCCATCAAATTACTCCATAATCATAAGTTCTAATGGCTCTGCTCATGAGCCTTCAAGCATGACACCCCTATGATATATAAGAGACAACCTTTAGTACTCACATTTCAATGTCATTTGGAAGATTTAAGATTAATCATCCATGTCATGTCAATATGTCATCTCTGGTTAGGGAGCATCGATGGTCTTGCTAAGATTTGGATTAGTACTCAAGCAATTGGGGAACTCTTCCGTAAAAGCCAGCAATCTAGGGGGAAGAACCAAGTCACTTAGGTATTCCACCCACTCCACCTCGTAAGTCTGTTTAGGGTTTATCTGAACATATTCTGGCCGTTTCTGCTTCTGCGAAATGGCTTTAGATCTTGCAAACTAGTGTCTGTATCTTCCAAGATTTAGTTTTATTTGCACACGAAAATACATTTATTATTATTTTTTACTAGTCTCTTTTGGGTTTGATTAGAACAATAGACGTTGAGAAGAGAGCTTGTTTTGGTCTAAGAGAAGAGAGATTAAGAGAGAAATGCAACTGAAATTGTAGGAGTCCATGAACTTTTTTGTTTCTCTCCTCTTTGAGAAAGTGATGAGAAATGAGTGAGGGTACTGTTTTTTTTTTTTTAAAATTTTATTTACACGTTAGGATTCAAAGTTTGTTAACGTTTTTTCTCATTTTTTTTTTGGAGAACTTCTTAATATTTAAAATTATGGAGAATACTTAGATACAATTCAAAATATGACAAATATATCTAAATATCTTTTAAGGAGTAAAAATAGGAAGAAATTGTATATGTATAAGAGAAAATTATATATTTGTAATATTTTCATTAAAAAAAACATAAATCACACCTAAGAAAATACATCTAAGTTTTTTTCTAAAATTAATATATCAAATTAGTTAAACACAAGGTTTTCAATATTTATAAATCAGCAACTTAAAAAAAAAACTTCAAAACATAAAAGTAATTAAAATCAAAATGAAATAATTAAAAATTATAATTTAGTCAAATTATTTTATTCATTAGATTAATATAAACAGGAAATTAACCTTTGTAGTGTGACTTAACCTTTTAAAAATTCAATTTTTTTTAGAGATGTTTAGATATGCATCTTTGGATGCATTTAAAATCTCTTCATCCTTTGTAAATCAAACGGTCACTTTATTTTTGTTAAAATTTGATCCAAAGATGCATGTGTAAAAATTTATAGGATGAATTCGGAGATTTATCTTCGAAAACTCTTATTTTGGATATGCATTTTTGGAAAAAAATTTCCATGCATCTTGGACCAAAATATTGTCTAAGCTTATATATATATTTTTTGAATTTAAAGTAATTTTAATCTGACTAACAATACCATAATTTGACTCAAACATTAATTAACACGAACATCATAGAACAAGGTAATGCATTAATTAAGAAAATTTCATAATATTACAACAATATTATCAAAGTATGGAAAATAATATTAAAATATTCCAAAATGCAAAAAAAAAAGAAATACAACCTACTGCGTATGTCTAATTCTATTTTCTGACTCCTTTTCTGTCGCCGATAACCCAAAACATTTCGTACTTTCGTAAGAATGAAATGTACTAGGGCAACACATCATCGCCATCTCTCAAATAGTCCAGACTGGATGCCCTCATACGTAATCCTCATAATATTTTAAAAGATCATCAACACATCAATGACATGGTCATCTTTGGCCTGCTCATTCTTTAGTATCTCCTAATGAGAAGCATAGGTGGACGTCTAAGAGCATCTGGCGTCATGACAAGGTGTGGCACACTTTAGAACTAAGTCAACTAATCGTCAGCATAATACCAATGACTTGTGACTGACATTACTTCGATATTTTTTGGTACCAGATGACTCTCGTAATCTTCCAGTAAGTCATTAAGATGTCTACAAACGAAGTTGTTAAGAGCAATCTCGAATGGGGATCTCGAAATAATTTGCACATATCCAAACTGACGCATTACTTCAATATTTCTGTGGTTTTGTTGTGAATAGTAGAGTTGTTTGTGGTTTCGTTGGCATCAGAGCCTTGATCAGATGCCATGTTAGTAGTGGTGTGCATGTGATGAAGGAATTCAATGGAAATCCTAGATTTGAGATTAAGAAGACAATGAGGGATGAAGAGATTGTTTTTTGGTCTCGTGATACCATATTAAAAGGTAATGAAACTGATGGGTAAATGGGCCATTGGGCCTTGATATTATTGAATAAATGAAAATTATAAGTCAGATTACAAATGAGGAAGGCGATTTCTTTTTCCACCCTTATAGATTTTCACAAATCCTTGGCGAAAAGTAAAAAATGACTCCAGTTTTCAGAGATGCATCTCCGGACGCATCATTTTCATACAAAATAAGCACAAATGGGTAATCAAAAATTTTATGGACTATATCCGGAGGTCCGTCTTGAAAACACCCCATAATACACGAAATACAAACATTTAAATAGCTAAAAATACACTAATAAATATTTTCAAAGATGCATCTCCGAATTAATTTTTGACAAAAACAGAATGACTGCGTTAAAATAGCTAAAAATACACACAAAAAAAAGATAAAAGAAATTGCCAATAAAAAATGCAATTACTTTATCTAAGAGGTTTTAACTTGACAATCTCCCCCTCTCATTTTTGGCACATTTACGTTAATTACTCCATTATATATCGGAAATTTGAAAATTTACGGTGCCTAGCCGAAAATTTCACCATGATAAATTTCACTTATTAAAGAGAATTTACCGTGACTTGTGCTTGTTATCGAAAATTTAAATTTTTTGAAATGTACATATATTAGAAAGTACTTGAAATGTGAAATTTCTGGTAGTCGCAGAAATACTGGAAATTTGAAATTTCCGATAGTACTGAATATATAAATAGAATAATTGTAAGATAGTTAGGCAACTTAATATATAAATAGAATGATTGTCATACATATATGCATAAAAAGCAAACTACAATCAATTCCTACACAAATCTTTCCAATGTATGAAGTGTCCCGCATATGCTGATTCCCATACTTTTGCATCATTAGTACAATCATGTCTCCAACGGGTAGTGACGGGAGACAATGGGCAATCAAATTTCAACTATACCCGAACCCAATGATTATTGTTAATAAAATCAATAACAATTATTGTATGCCTACTTGTGTACATGGGTGGAGCATTGATTAGTGGAAAACAAGTGATCTTGAGATTCCTGGAAATGAAAACAAGTACAACACTGTATCTAAACGCAATCATGTAACGCATATCAGGAATCAACATCCATTTTTTCATATCCTGCACACCGAAGTGTTCTACTTGTAACACATTTTTAACTGTAGAGACAATGTCATAGAACAACTTGAAAAATAACTGAGTGTGTTGATGGACTTGAGAATCTAACTGCTTTCGAACCAAAGGCTACAAATTTTTCTCTCACCTTAATAAAGATGAAATACAACGAGAATTACTATTTCCATCATTCTCAATATCAATAATATCTTCGATGTATGGATGAAGGAAAGCAGGAAACTGTGACAAGAACTCAACTCTTGAAGATTTGGTAGAGGTTGCCTACCCATTGGTATGATTGACGATTGACTTTCAATTATTTTTGTGCATGATCTTTTTTGTGTCTGACTCCCCTACGAAGCCGCAAAATATTCTCACTGGTTAGGATCACGATGCATATCACTCTCCCTACCCTTTTGACTCTTCTTATTTCTCTTCATTGGCTTGTACTTCACCGACGGTGGACACATTGGAGTTGTAGATGGATACGTTAGATTACAAACTTTTTTCTTCAAAATCCTCTGACCCAAAGTATTGAAATATCTCCTTAACTCTTCTTCTAAATTCCACTTACTCTCATCATTCATATTCTGCGATGTGCAATTTCGTCCAAAATACATGAGTTGATTCCAAAGGAATAAGGGCGCTTAAAATTTGGAAACCGACAAGATGACACACAAATGGTAACACTGTTCTAATGAAACAACCTCACCTCTCCTGGCTTGAACCAACAAATTTTACTCTTTCTAGTTCCTTTC